GAATGGAGGGGGGAGAAGCTGTGGAGAATGAGGAAGGGGAAGAGAAAAGCTGGTGGAGAAGGAGGAGGGGGAGAAGAATGGTGAAGGAGGAGGAAGGGAGAAGGGGAAGAGTGGAGAAGACGGAGGGGAGAAGCTGTGGAGAAGGATTAAGGGGAGAAGGGAGTGGTGAGAAAGAGAGAGGGGAGAAGCTGGTGGAGAAGAGGAGGGGAGAAGTGGCTGGAGGAAGGGGCAGAAGCTAGTGAAGAAGGAGGGGAGAAGCTGGTGGAGAAGAAAGAAGGGCGAAGGAAAGGTGGCTGGAGAAGGGGGAGGGAGAAGCTGGGAGGAAGGAGGAGAGGGAGAAGCTGGGTGAGAGGAGGAGGGAAGAGAAGCTGTGGAGAAAGGAGAAAGGGAAAAGGAGAAGTGGTGGATGAAGGAAGAGGGAGAAGCTGCTGAGAAGGAGGAAGGCGGAGAAGGGAGAAGGTGGTGGGAGAAGGAGGAGGGGCAGAAGCTGCAATTAAACCGCAAATATTTACATGATTTATTTACAACAATTTAATTTAAAAGTATTATTATTGTTTTAATTAAATTAAATTATTTAGCTGTTAATAAGTTATTAGTGTTAAGTCTTTACTCGCAGTAGCTGAATTCTCGTCACGAAAATCACTCGCAAGTACTTGATTGTAACGAAATCACTTTGTAGACATTGATTTCGTAAGCAAATCACTTTGGCAGACTTGAATATTCGTTAGCGAATCAGGTCATGGGACAACTTGCGCCCCACACGCCAAGTGTAGCATGATTTCGTAACGAAATCACTCGACTTGCAGTACTGATTTCAGTCAGCGAATCATTCCGCAAGTAGTTGATTTCGTCACGAAATTAACTTTGTAGACTTGATTTTCGTAACGAAATCATTTTGTAGCACTTGATTTGGTTGACGAATCAGGTGATTTTCGTCAACGAAATCAGTTCATATCGAACACTTGGCGGCCCCGCACACGCGCTAAGTGTAGGCGATGATTTTGTAACGAAATGCACGTCGATGCAGTAGTCTGATTTCGTCACGAAAAATCACTCGCAGTAGTTTGATTTCGTACGCCACATTACTTTGTACTATTTGATTTCATAACGAAATCACTTTGTAGACCTTGATTTCGTAACGAAATGCAGTCATGGCGAACACTTGGCGGCCCCACACGCCAAGTGTAGCATGATTTGCAACGAATCGCATGATTCGGTAACGAAATCATTCGATTTGCAGTAGCTGATTTCGTACGAAAATCAGTCATCGACATTTGGGCGCGCCGGGGCCGCGCCCAAGTGTAGCATGATTTCGTTACGAAATGCACTCGGAGTAGCTGATTCTGTAACGAAATCAAGTCATGCGACAATTTGGCGCAGGCCGCGGCCGCCTAAGTGTAGCATGATTTCGTACGAATGACCCGCAGTAGCTGATTTCGTAACGAAATAACTTCGTAGTAAGTTGATATTTCGTACGAAATTACTTTGTAGAGCTTGATTCGTACCGAAATTACTTTCGTAGACTTGACGTTTCGTAAACGACATCACTTTGTAGACTTGATTTCGTTACGACAAATCGTGGAAAGTATCGGTGGAAAATATCGGTGGAAAGTATAGGTGGATAGTATCGGTAGATGTTTACTTCTGGACGCGTTCTTGTGTGAATCTCGCACTAAATATTATTCGCTGTGCCCTTGTAAATTTGTTGTACGTGGAGTTGTTTCCCTGTTTCGTAAGTATCGCTGAGAGGGTCTATGTCCCCCGGGGTACTGCCGGAGCGTACCCTGGGTACGGTTCGGTATACCGGAACGTACCCTGGTACTATCTAATATGCCGGACCGTACCTCGCCTACTACACTAACGAGTCTAGGGAGTCGCCTACGCCTACTCCCTAACCCAAACCCTAATCCTAACCCTAACTCTAATCCTAACCCTAACCATATCAAATAGTGACCAGGGTACGTTCCGGCAGTACCCTGGGGGACATAGACCTTATTATTATAAAGTAAGGTCTAGTAGTAAGTATCGGTGAAAAGTATTGGTGGAAAGTATCGGTGAACGTTTGCTTCTGGACGTCTTTTTGTGTGAATATCACGCTAAATTAATATTATTCGCTGTGGCCTTGTAAATTTGTTGTACGTGGGGTTGTTTCCCTGTTTCGTAAGTATCGGTGGAAAGTATAGGTGGATAGTATCGGTGGAAAGTATCGGTAGACGTTTACTTCTGGACGCATTCTTGTGTGAATCTCGTGCTATATATACTATTCGCTGTGCCCTTGTAAATTTGTTGTACGTGGAGTTGTTTCCCTGTTTCGTAAGTATTGGTGGAAAGTATCGGTGGAAAGTACTAGCTGGTGCCGTGGAAAGTATCGGTGGAAAGTATTGGTGGAAAGGATCGGTGATAATTATCGGTGGAAAATATCGGTGGGTAGTATCGGTGGAAAGTATATATAGGCAGGCATTTCATTTCTTGGCGCGTTTTTTCGCCAGATTTTGCTTCTTCGGAAGGAAAGCGTTTTCCTGTGTCGTCATCGGTGTCGTGTGTGAATTTTAATTATGCGTAAAGCCGGCCTTAGGTAGTTTCAGAGCATACCACATTCAACAAACATTAGTTCCAGAGACCTCCATTTTTAGGTCTGAGTTAGTTCCAGAGCCCCCCCCCCCATTTTTGACATCGCAGTGGCACATACCTACCATAATGTGGGGTGAGTGCCCCCCCCGGGGTCTCATCTCCTTGGTATGTGTTGCTCATTAGTTCTCTGCAGAATTTTTTTTTTCAAAATAGTGCCACGGCAGTGCCGTGCTGCCGTGGCGGCCACTACGGCCATGAGGTAGATCGATTTAGTTTTCACGTTAGCCGAATTTCGGGCGGGGTTCGGGGCAGTGTTGCCAACGCGTTGGACATTAAAGAACGTGCCATTGTGCCGTTCAATATGGTTTAAAATCTTCTCAGAGAGTTTTGCGAATACTTCGTTAGCGCAAAATCAATTGGCGCAGTAATGTATCAAGCTTGCTTTGTATTCATTTTGTGAAGCTCACTTAAATGAGGAAAATATCTATATCGCATAGCTTGCCACCGAGTTTCATATTAGTGAAGACTATTACCAAGATTCCTGCTTTCTCGTGGCGGAGGGTTAACAGCTGGGGACAGTCTAAGCTGTGCACGCGCCAACTGCTAATATCCCTTTCATTGGATGTGGCAATGTGGCTAGTAGCTTCACACGATACGTGCAAGTAAGTAGGTACAACAATACCCCGCATCACGCTAGTTACACAATTCAGGAGAAGGAACGACGCATTTATACGGAGAATCTAAGAGCTATACGATGTAATATCATCAATTATGTATATTTAATTAGGTAGCATAGTATGGTGATAATGCTACGAGATAAAATTGAGTTCAGACATAGAATTGGTGAGAGGGAGAGGGTGAGAAATTATTGCGTATAAAAGACATAAAATTCATGCGAAGCGGCAGAGGCACGCCATTAGTGTTACGAAGCTGGTGTGGTGAGATTCATTCCTGCATCATGGCGACAGCTAATAGTTCACAGTGCAACATCTCTGGGTCCGTGTCCGAGAATGGGAGCTTGTTCGGCTGCATGGAGTCGGATATTGAACAGGGAGAGGTTCCAGTAATACCGACTATTCAGTACTGGATCATTTACCTGCTGATTCCTATCGACGTACTCAACATACTTGTTAATCTTCTCGTCATCTTGGCTGTGACACGGACATCACACCTGCAGGAGCCAGCACACAAGCTGATCGCAAACTTGGCTGTCGCTGATTTCATCATGGGCGTCCGAGGAATCCTCTTCGCACCAATGACCTTTCTACTAAAATTCACACCAAAGATCATATGCGTTGTACACTTCAGTCTGGTTACGCTCGCGGCCGTTGCATCAACAAATGCTCTCATCGCCCTCAACGTAGACAGGTACATTGCAATATCGCGACCTCTACACTACTACCAGATCGTCACACCGCGCGTTGTCTTGGTAATGGTAAGCACGGTTTGGGGCTTTGCCTTCTTCATGAGCGTGATAACGACCGTTAGCAACCGCTGGGAGCCGGATCTACCATGCATATTTGACATCGTTTTGAGTAGAATATCTGTCATCTTATTCTCGGTATTTGTTTTGACGTGTGGCGCCGCCCTCGTCTCCATCTACGCTTACATGATGATGATTGCCAAGCACCACCAGCAGCAGATCCACCCGAACCCGAGCAACAGCGGTTCGCAGGAGGCAGGAGCGACCGGAAAATCCTTCTCTGTTGAGCTCGCCAAGCATCTGAAGCTTGCCAAGACGTTTGGCATCGTCGTCGGCGCTTTCTTCGTTTGCTGGGCTCCGTTTTTTGTCATGATGCTGATGAGCGTTGCCGACGTCTACCACGACACGGTCGGCGTGGCGCGAGGCCTCGGCTACATACTGGTGTACTCAAACTCTTTCATGAACTTCTTCATATATGCTGCGAAGAGCAGTCAGTTCCGCGCCGCCTTCCGGGCGGTGTTGCCCTCGCGTGGACACTAGAGACGTGGCTACTGTTCAACCTTACAGGAATCATCGCGACTGTTTCGTTCGTTCGCATAAAGGGCCGTACACACCAGGCGATGCCATCGCCCGACGCCATCGGCCGATGGCATAGGGCGATGCCATCGCCCGATGGCATCGCGCAGTCGTGGACACACCAGGCGATTTCATCGGGCGATGCCATCGCCCGATGGCATCGCGCAGTCGTGGACACACCAGGCGATTTCATCGGGCGATGCCATCGCCCGATGGCATCGCGCAGTCGT